AAACAGTTTAATGCATGCTGAATTACTGGCATATTTATTTTAACTTCCAACACGCTTTTAAAGACACTTTCAGGGTATCTCTCAATTCCCTTACCTTTTTAAAGTTTAGCTTTAGTTGTTAACTTTCTAATAATGTTAACTTTGTAACTTCTAACTTAACTTTCTAATTTCAGCTCACTGTCTCTTGCGCTAACAGTCATGATATGCTCTGGTCTTTTACCTTGGAATATTTGGAGGAGGCCTGTCCTCAGCTCCCAACTTCTGTGCCTAGTATTTCATGACTTCAGAGAACGCAGGTCCACTTAATGCCTGTCACACACACTGTGTGTAACCAAAGCCACATGTAAAAGCAGGCTCTTGAAGCAGCCCACCACCCATCACTGAGCTAGAATTGCTGGGCAGCTCCTCCATGGCAATTTCCGTGCCATTCCATCAAATGTGAAGTTGCCCCAAAGATGCACTGCCTAATCCTTGCATCATAACCACAGGAATTTTTACAAAGGAAGAAAAGGGGCTCTGGTATCTCTTACAGAGTGAACTCACTCCCTGCTGCTAGCTCAAAAGACAGAGCAATCAAAATAGAGTGTGACCATCTCATGATCACCCTGCAATTTCCAGGAGCTAAACCAATTATTTGGAGCCACATACAGCCTTAAATTTGTAATGTGAATGAGCAAAATGCAGACCAGCCCAAGATAATCAAAATATGAAGACATCTGAATACATCTATGGCAGCTTTCCAGAGCTGCAAGCATTTTGCTCTGTATTTCCAAATATTGAAAGAATTCAAAAATGCAGTCTTATTGTGAAAGACCAGCTGACAGTTCCAGGCATCCAGCTAGATTCCTAAGAAATTCACTGTGCTGAAAGAACTTACCAACAGGCATATGTTTTGAACCACACTTCCAAACACATTTCCAGATACAGTTCTGGAGCTGGATCTACAGTCATTTTTTTCTAATATGTTTAGGGAGGAGCTGTTTGTCAAGTCTGTTCTCAGGCCAGATCTACAGACTTGTTCAGAGTGCTCTGTTGAAGCTGGACCAAGAGCCATCACTAGAGCCCTTTCCTAGAGCCACATCTACAGTTGGCTCTCAAGCCATCTCTAGAGTACTTTCCAGAAATAGATCTAAGGCCAATTTTAGAGCCCCTTCCCAGAGTGGGACTAGAGCCATTTCTTTAGGTCTTTTCCAGAGCTGGATCTAGGTTCAATTGCCAAGCCACTTATTGGAGATGGATTTAGAGCATGTTCTGGTGCCCTTACCCATAGCCTCTCTGGAGCATTTCATAGAGGCCTTTACTAGAGCTACTGTAGAGGTGTTTATCTCTTAATCTCTTAATTGGCTCCATAACTTCTCAGATGGAACTAGAGCCTGAGCTGGATCTGGAGCCATTTCTAAAACCTGACCTGGAGTCTTTTTTCTGGAATGTCTTTTCCTGTAGAGTCCTGCAAACTGAAATAACTTTTCAATTGAAAGTTCACTTTGAGAATAATGTAAATAATATTAGTGTCTAATACAGAGCAAAAAATAGACTATTTTGAAAAAGCTGAATTACCTCAAGCCTATGAATTCTCTCCATCCTTGTTATTCAAGGGAATATTTAGAAAAAAATCTCCACAGTCAGTTTCCATGCCAAAATTAAAATATTTACCACATGTAGATTCCACACACACACTATTTCTATTCATTTACACATCTATTAAAAATAGATATTTACACATATTATTAAAAATATGAAATCTATTTTTAAGAATGTCACCTTCAGCAGGCAAAACTGACATGGATCACCAGGTAATACTCACCTTCAGAAACGGCTAGATGTAAAACAAAAGATCTCCCAAATCATCATTCTCATCCATTTGTACAGTATCTAAATACATCAAACATGCAGTGCACAAGAGGCATTACAGAAATAAAAAGGGGCAGATGGTCACAGAGTAACAACGGAGTGCAAAGAGAATGAATGAATATTTTAAAAACACAAACTGATCAAAACAGCAGACAGATTTAAATGTACACAGCATAACTTGATATTACAGGAAATAACACTTTGATACAGAAAAGGTGTATTAGGCATTCAGATTCCACTTCCAAAATCTGTATGCAAAGCCATGCTTTTCAAGCAAGTTGGCATAATTTTTACATTCTTGAAGTTTGATTAGTTTAGTAAAATTTAACTTTCTTTGTAGATTTATCATAAATCAAGTTTCATGCTATGGGTTGAAAAGCAGAAAACATAAAAGCTAATAAGTCTTAAATTAAAAAAAAACCCAAAGAATGCATGTGCTACATATTCAATGCCTGGCTCAGAATGAAAAATATTAGCTTTCTACTAAGGAACACAAATCCATCCATAGGATTTTAATGGTACATCATTTTTACCCATAAAATTTAGACAGATAGGTCTAAACAGAAAATATGTGAAAAATGTTTATTATTTATATACAAATAGCATTTAGTAATCAAAATAAACAGTATTCCACACCGGCCCTCATCAGAGTTTCAAACAAGTATGCCAGGACATTGTCTTTACTTATATCTCAAACATTAGTTTGGTATCACACGTATCTTTCAGGAATACTCTCTTTTCCTTTCTCCTTCTGCTCTCAACGTCAATCATTAGCGACATTTATATATCACATGTCTCAGTTCACTGATATCATCTTCTTCAGCATAAAAAAATAAAAAACTGGAGTGTTAAAGAAGGCTTGCTCATGTATTTAGGACAAACATGCATTCAAATGATTCATCAAGCACCCTGAGCACTCAAGTGACACTGCAGTTAGGTGACACTATGGCAGAAAATAAATTTAGGAATGAATGACTTTATGAATTTAAGGAGAGTTCACATCACACTTGACATTGCCATTTCTGTTCACTGGAAATCGAAGGCAAGCCAGGAAGGGTCCTGAAGAGTGTTAGAGCTCTACGGATCAAACAATACCTAGAAATCAGTGATTTCCTGTCTGCAAAATGGAACCCAAGGACAAGGGGACACCTCTTCCCCCCGTATTGTAACAGCAGCTAAAGAACAACTCCAGATTCTGACAAATTTCATACATATCATAATGTTGTAAACCTTATGAAGTATTTTAAATGTTTTAAATGTAAAGCTTAGTTGTGAGGGTCTCTCTAAATTTCCAAGGCTTCAGTAGAAGAAATGAACATGTGCAACAAAATATCAAATCTGGCATTACTTTCCCCACAACTTGTTTTTAAAAACACAAAAATCTGAAACCAATACAATTCAAGTCATGCAAGGGCAAAGGGGAATATTTAATTAACTGTTACCACAGGACATCTTCACAGAACCAGAAGAAAACTAATTGCTGCTTATAACCTTCTTAAGGGCCAGAGAAAGGAACTGTGAAAACCTAATCCTCTAATGACTTCAGTGGGAAGTCTTGTCACACAGCACCATTGGGTAATAGTATCAAAAGAAGAAATAAATTACACTTCAACTACCCTCATTCATCTGTCCTTTTGCTTATTTTGTTTGTCTAATGTGGCCGTGACATGAAAGCTAGGCCCTTAGTTTTGCAACAATTTACACCTCTGTCCCTGAATAAAATAAAGTTGATACGACTGTATAAATCAGACTTTACAGGCTAGGTCTCGGAAGGAAGAGATCAAATCTAAAAATCAGCAATGTGTTCATAGCACTACCTCTTTGCTCTTAAACGTCTGCTTTGTAAAGTGATTCTGACACTAAGGAAAAACTACGCTTTCTCTAGTTTCCTGTTTGCAACAGTAATCTAATACAGATAAACAACTTATTTTAAAAAACACCGTAAAACCACTCATCAGATAAAAACGGTCTTGTAGCAGAGTTATCATATCAGCAACTGGAAATTTTGTCCGATTGCCTGATTTCCAGGAATATAATAATGCATTATAATTCCTTTCAAGTCTAATGTACAACATGGCAAAGACTCCAATAGGGATGCACCCACAATCAGCAGTCTGATGACACCATCAACTACGACATCAGGCTGCTTTTTATGCAAGAGAAATTTCCCTGTTGGTTAACAAAGCTGGCACAGCTTGCCTAAGATTGCCAGAACAATATCATTTGTTGTATAACTAAAACTTAATACATACAATTATACTACTTTTCTTTTAGTATTCAAATGCTAGCAGGATCATTTATTGATCAGAAAATATCTTTACCATAAATTGGAGTTTTGCAAGCTCAAGTGTACTAGAAACCAGGAAATGGCAAAGGAAGCGGAGTCTTAACCTCCTAAGGGGTCTATAAGAAACAAACCTTGAAAACTGTTGCCATAAACTACAACTGACACCACATTATACAACTACAACTGACACCACATTATACAGCTACAACTGACACCACTTTAGTTCTTGGCGTGGGTCTGGAGTACACAAACCAACAAAAAGCTGTGACAACCTCCCACTGACAAGTATATTAAATTGGTACTTGATTATTGATAAATATATCAGCTTGCTGGTGCAGGTTGTCATAGCAGTACACAGCTCTACAATATACCCTACTGAACACTTTGTGTCAAGGTAACCTAGTCATACTCTTTCTGTAAGACAGATCTTGAAGCACTCATTAAGAATATTTTGCAACATGACTGGTAAACACAAATAACACTTCAATTACTTTATGGATATTTGAACAAAACCAGAAGTTGGGCTTTCAGAAAAGGACACTTGTCCATAACTATAGGGGAGAATATTTGTACAGGTGCCCCATCCATCTCTGTGTGCAAAATAATGTTTTGCCCTGCTGGAATATTATAGAGTAACGAGATTAGTGCTTCATTTAATTAATATTTTTGGCAAGCATGGTGAACGTGATGTCAGACAGATACAGGCAGTAGAATCACACAGTCCAGTTAAAAGAGCAAACACTGGTAGGATGACATAAGAATCTCAAGTGCATGCAAAAAAGCCATCACTGAGAAGCTTCAGTAAATGCAGAGGCCATCTACAAGTAGCAGTAGCATACACAATGTTAACTCAACTGCTTACCCACTAAGTACACCAAGAACCAGGTTAAGTACGAAAAATGAGCCAAGGATGATAAGACTAACAAAATAGATCCATGGCCATTCACATCCTATTGCATCATTTACCTGTAAAATGTAAGGAAATAAGTTATGATTCAGTCATTCATTAAACAGCAGAGTCCTTTTTGCAGCTGCCAGATCACGTAGGTTTCAACACTGAAAGTTTATGGCTTATTCAGTTCTTAAAAAAAAAATTGATGAATATTTGTTTAATTTCCTTACCCAAATTATGTTGTAGATGTGATGCCTTAGAAGATTAATCAAAATAACATTTAAATAAGTGCATGAGAATTATTAGCCCTTTTTATAATTTTGTAACAAGTATGGACGTGAAGAATATATACTGGTACGTCTAAACTCTGATTTTGGTATTTGTATGTTATTTATGTAACAGCTACAGAAAACTGTTTCTGTTCTAATTACAGGAGAAAGAAACAGAGGTTTCTTAAAAGATATCATCACAACTGAAGTCTCACCTGTATAAGATAACCTGTGTGTTCATGGCAGCTGAATTCAGGACTCTGCCTTCATGATGAAAAAGGTGTATGCTTACCCGCTCAATACACCAAGAACAAGATTTAGTACGAAAAATGACCCAAAGATGACGAGACTGACAAAATACACCCATGGCAATTCAAATCCCATAGCATCATTCATCTGCAAGAAATAAGATGATCTTATAGAGTAGATCACTATAGTAATAGCAATAAAGAGTCAGAGAATTTAATCATTCTATGCATTCCCTCAGTATTCAAAGAAGGACAATACAAGAAAGAAGGCACTGGCCACATTCACTTTGCATTTCTAATACGTACTCTAAAATAAAATACTGAGCAAACCTAGCATTCAGATCAAAAATATTATCAAACATAAATGAAGCATTGCAACAGTTCTGTTCTTTAACACCTAGAATATCAACTAAATTTCAGATCTCATTAATTAAAATGATGCTTACAAAGTACATTGAAATATTAAGATTTTTAGTTCATATATATCCTAGCTACATGAATGATCCTTTGAGAAAAGAAACAGTAATATGTATCTCAACAGTACAAGCAATATTAATTTTTCTGTAACATGGAATTTCAATATTTTTTTCCTGAAATACTACAGTTGGATGCAGTCAGACCTTTTAAATTAATTCAAAAATAAATAAATGAGAATGAATTTCTGTAAAAACATGAACACAATTTTAGGAAAATGAAAAACTGAAATAAAATTTTAGAAACTTAGTGGAAACATGGAAATGCTCCAGAACCACTTCCGAACAAAAACTGTATCAAGATAAAGGTTAAATCAAGTTTAAAAAGCTATTACTGATTTTTTTTTTAAGTAAGGTTGAAGTAACTGAGCTTTAAATACACTCTTCATAGACTCACACAAGCTTTTCTATACAGACCTTTTCCACTGTCTATTCTTAGCGAGCTCATTATACCTATCAGAAGATGGACTCTAAGAAACATACCCACGGAGATCTAAAAAGGCCTATTCAGAAAAATGATATTTTAAAACACAGGTAAATTGGTTTTGTGTGCAGCATTCAGGTGCAAAAAGACATTTTGAAAAGTTACAAAAGTAATTCTGACTTGGAACTTCTTGGAAATGTCTCCTGTGGGACAGGAATTATTCTGGCATTTTTGTTTATACCAACAAGTTTGCAGTAGATTCTTCTTAAAATGCTTTTTAGCCGTAAAATTCAGCAGACAATAAAATTTGCATTAGCATTCGAGAGTGGATATGGTGGTGTAGAAAAATCTTTGGGCAAACCTTTTTCCTCTTCTGTGAATGCTATTGTTCGTTGTATCTGAAATTTGTGATTAGGCTTTGAGCTCTATTGATAGTCAAGTTTGACTCCTGTCCTTAATGTCTCTGTTGGAATAGATATACTAAGTATGGGAACAAACTTTTCAAACTGTACTTCTTATTTTATTTTTTTCATCTATCTTTTAAAAATGTACCATAATCTCAGTTTCTGCAAGGTGGCCCTAGGGATGGTTAGATACAAGCACATGCATTAAGTCTTCGCAGGTTAAGGCCCTTAGGCACTTTCCCTCAATGATGATCTGTAATAATGTCACTTTATACTAACTAAAGTAAACAAACTTCCTAAGTAACCAAAGAAGATTATTTTATACAACTTCTTCATGCATCCTTTAAAATAATCTATGTATCACCTTTTAAAATGCTTTAGTAATTGAACTGAAGTACTGAAAAGTAACTTAAAATTACTTAGACTTGCTAGGAAAAAAAGAAAACTGCAAAACATATATTTTATTTGGATTTTTTTCCTTTTTATTTCAATAAAACCATATTTTAGAGAAATTAAAATGGAGAAGAGTTAGAGCCATTCAGAAAGGCTGAAATCATTACCTTCAATTTTAAAAAATCCCAAGTTTCCATAGTCCTATTCTGCAACAACATATTCATATGGAAAATAAAGTCTTTCATAATGCTGCCATTATACTGATCTACTTATTCTTAGTCTCCTATGCAATACTTTTAGCAATACTTAGCATGTCAGCTGCCTATGCTAAGGAGGTCAGTTGTAGTGTTTTGTTTTCAATCATCGATTGCCATTCCCTCAGAGCAAGTCCCCTACATTTGAGAAGTCTTAACAATGAAAAGGTTCAGGTATTTACTAAAATATCCTATTACCCAGACTGAATTTCTGCATTGTCCCAGTGTATGTTGCCCTTTGCATCTTCTTTCAATTGTAGGCATCTGGCCTTAAGGTTTAGGAATAAAATTTACTCAATGGTTTTTTTAAATGCATATTCATAATTACTTTATCACTTTAGAATTGAGTTTGCTTCATAGAAATTATTCATATGATACAGGCAAAGTGTTTTTCTAATAATAGCTGGTAAGAGCAAACATTTTGATTAAATTTCAAATACTTATGAATGCATTTTGCATCTAACTGAACTATACCATTAGCAAACAGTTGTTTGTGAGTCACCAGAGTTCAGAGTGAAGGCATAAATTCATCTGGGATTGATAACAACATTTTCCTCTTATAAATCTTTCTGACAAACCTGAAAGATTAATATTTGTAATTCTACTTGGAGAAAAAAGAGCAGAATGACTGCAATCCACTTGATACAATGTTTTTGCTCACAAAGAGAACGTATTCAAGAAGCCAGGCATTGTGCTAACTTAGTAACCCAGGAGCAAAGCTGAAATTTCCATGCTTTGTCATAAAGTCTCTATTACCATAGGCAACTGTCATTGGCATTTCCTTCATTTACTTTATAGTGCATAACATATGAAAAAAAAAACTTCTTCTCATTTATGCAGTTTGATTTCAAGCCCAATGGTTTAGGCTAATCTATCTAGGACTAATGCCTTGTGATATAAAAATTGAAAACTGTAGCTAACCAGTGCGAGAAGAAATGTTTTGGTTTGGGCAGATGCTGAACTAATTCAAAAGCATTCCTCACTCAGGAACCAGTAATCTAGTAGAACACCTTGGCACTAATCTAAGATTGAACTCCCAAAAACAACAGCCTGAAACTGGATCTGCTCAAGAATGTTACCATTTAATTCTAGAGACAACTGAACTCTGTTCAAGTAATGCATTGTAATTTCTATTCATGAAGTAATATTTCTGATTGCATTAATACTAGAGATAAAAGTATAAAAAGAAGTCCTTTCCTTTTGGAAAATGCTGCTCATTTCATGCATGTCAAGTGGCATTTTCCATAACTTTCAATTAAAGAAAGATTAAAGGAGTCAATTTGCCTTCTGATTAAAAATTGAGGCAGAGTTTTGTTAAAACATGAGCATAGGAAAATCGCCATCCTCAGAAACAACGTATTTTCAGTTGAAAGGATTAATGCTGACTTCTCACCCAAAGTGCAGAATAAGGAGCTACGAAGACACAAATTCCACATGCATTGGAGGTTGCAACTAAGAAACGTAAACAATAAAAGCCCCTGAATTATGGTAAAGTAACACCAGGAAATCTAGGAGATACCACATCTCAAATCCTCAGCAAAAAGTCTTGCAAGGCTCCCATGCTCTGTGGCTCAGGGATATACTATACCAAAGGAGGTGTCATATTAATGGCTCTCAATGGACTCGTTGCACCTCTTTTTGAGTCCATTAAGCTTTTAGCATCCCTAACACCTATTGCAAAGACACCCCCCCCACAGTACTGTCCTTCTGGCACTTTGTTGTGCCTTTTTCCAGATCTACTCTTACTGTTTGGATTTCAGTTCTAATTAGTTTGTCCATCACATCAACCAGAGGACAGATGAGATGATGGATGATAGGAAGGACAAAGTATTTTTCATATCACTTAATTCTGTTTCACCATAACAGTAGACACGTACTACTTCAATTATATAAGTGTTTAAAATGCTTATTCTCCAGAGATGCCACTTTTGGCTATGCTCTGGCATTTTCACTCCTTTCATACAGATGTTAAATTAGATTTGCATGTTTAAACAGGTTTGAAAAGAATTTTGAACTGAACTCTGAAGCTCTTCCTATCCCTTTCATGAGTGACGCAGTAATTAATGGTTCAAAAGTCCTTGTAAAAGGGCCCATTTGTTGATGCTACCAGATCTGGAGACAAGTTACTTTATGCAAGTTAAATTGGTGGAGAATAATTAATTTTCATTGTATATTTACATGTATAAATTTATATTTAAATGTATATGTTTGTTAGCTTATGTCTGCAAAGTCTTGAAGAATTATCTTGAGCCGACAGGACAAACTTGGTAGTGTCTGAAACTGCCTCATCTGGCATTTGGAGTTAGCTGTGTTGTAGCTGGAGTCAACAATGCTGCATAGATGATCAGAGACCAAGACTTTGAAGTGAAACTGGGAGAAAACCAAACCTACAGCAGACATAAGCATCAGTATTACACAGCAGCAGATGGCACACTCCAATCTAAAACATTAATTAGAAATCACTAAAATGTCTCATTTATCCCTATCTGTGGTAATTGTAAGTAAAATCCCCATATGCAATTGCATGCAGATCAAGGTCTTACTTTTCTGTACACCTGGTACTGTTTTACTGAAAATTGTTACAACCTCTTTGTATGTATCAATTAATC